CTAAAGTTTGAAAACTTTTGTATGGATTTATAGACTTAGAAAAGGGTACAAACTACTATTGTCAAGTCTATAATCCACAAACACAATATTTTCTCAAAAATGACGTTTTGCATAATATATACATTTTTACAAAAACCAAAATGATAAATATGAAACATATGAGTATGTATATGAATATATCTATTATTTCATATTTGTATAGCTAGACCAAAAACAAAACAATAAATATAAAATATGTAAGTATATAAACAAGTATATTTATGTGACGCCCCTGGGTTCACACAAGGCTGCAGTCCGAGGTAAAACCAGAAATGTCAAACCTGCCATGCACCACACTGTGCAATAACATGTTTCACCATCACAATTACTATCTCTCTAGTGGAAACAACCACAGGTGTAGTACAAAGCAAGTAAAAGGTTATACAAGAATCAACTGATAAAATAACAGAGATCAAATTAATATTTCACCATCTAATATACTGGAATACAAATAAATGTCTGAAATAAATAAACTGGAGTTCTCAACAAGTCTCAAATACAAAATGTCTGACAAGAGGAAATAAGGCACACAACCTTTACAACTTCTAGAATAAAACTCTCAAATATCTAAACAGAAGTCTACAGAGCTCAAAAGAAAATATAACTAAATAGATGGTTGAAGCTAAAGTGCATCGCCATCAACCTGCGACTCTCCGAGCTCCTGGCTCGTTACCTGAAAGGGGGAGGGACAACGAGCGTCAAGCGCTAGCGAGCAACATCACAACCAACCCCAAGGGATAGGGCTCATTGTATATGAAAATACAGTTAATACATAATAATATAAAATCACTTATACTAACAATAGTAGGTTTTAGTACTTAGGAAATTACAACACGAGCATAGGTACGTCGAGCGAAATAATCCAAACAAGGAAACCCTCATGTATATACCTTGTATCTCAAATTGTAAATCCCTAAATACTAAACCCGAGGTTTAGCACAAGAAACAATAAAGGAAAAGAAAACAAAACCCATCTCTACCGATACAATTTAAACATGTCAAAGCTACAATAAATGTCATGTCCAGCCTAGGTAGCACTCATGTCCCAGACTCATATAATATGTCGTTTTTCCAAAAAAACCGGTTAAGAAAACATACTCAAGGTTCAGCAATTATCCAACTTAAGACTGTAATGAATTATAGTCCAACACGAGGACTTTAATGGATTATAGTCCAACACGAGGACTTCAATGAATTATAGTCCGACACGAGGACTGTGAACATGAAACATGAAATACTAGTAGTATAGGTATACGTATTCTACTCTTATACATGCCTTGCTGTACAGAACTAAGCTTGTGTCAGAAAAGTCATCTTACATAAGTAGATGAAAAATCATACATATTATAATTTAATACCCGATAAACAAGGCAACTTCTCATGTTCAAAAAAAATGATGAACGGTACCCTCGATGATATATGAACACTGTATGAACGTATAAGCACAGTAGGTGATCAAACAGAAACACAAACAAAATAGGAAAAACTCCGATGAGTCGACTCATCATCAGCTATGAGTCGACTCATGACTCATGGGTCGACTCGTGAACTGACGAGTCGACTCAGCAGACACTAATGAATAACAGGGATAGACTTTGTGAGTCAACTCATGACAGTCATGGGTCGACTCAACCTGATAAGTCGACTCATGATGAGTCATGAGTCGACTCACGGGCTAAAAACTGGATATTTCACAACTGCAGCTCATCCATCTCGTTCTATACTCCCACTAAACTGATCTTCACCTCCATAACTATCAATTCTAGACTACGAGGCAGTGATAAATTTATATATAGCATGAGAAACGAACACAAGCATGTTAGACCTAACTTTTAACTTCTAAACATGAGAGAAAGCATTTAATCAAAATAAAACTCATATTTTATTTCTTTAAATAAAATTCCAGATCTGGGTTTTCATCAAAAACTTGTTGGTGGGGATTTAGAATCCGAAAAACATGATTTCTAGCATTAACCCTAACAAGGATATTGATTTATACTTGAAAATAAGTCTTAGGCTCAATAAAACTCATGAAAAACGTTTATAAATTCTTAAAAGCATGGGGGAGAGATTGGACGAGATGTTACTCGCCTTAGATGTGATGAAGAACGATCCCCTTCGCTGAAATCCAAAAGAAACTGCTGAAAAATCCTTTGAAACGTCCCAAAATCACCAAGAACACCTAGGGTTTTAGAGAGGAGAGAGAGGGACTAGGGTTTCTGGGGAGAACTGGTGAAAATGAAGTGTTTTCGAGTAGAGGGGAATATATACGAGTGGATAAAACCCGACCCGAAACCCAAACAAACCCGACCCAGAAAAACCAGAAAAACCCCGATGAGTCGACTCATGACAGTCATGGGTCGACTCATAATATAATGAGTCGACTCAGCAGAGACTTATGACAACGGAAGATGATATCATGAGTCGACTCATGACATTCATGGGTCGACTCATGAGCTGAGAAATCATATCTGATGCTTATGATTTGTAAATTTGCAAACTCAACTTCATAACTGATGTATATATACATCCTCATAAGCTCAAAAATGCTAGATATCATGCACAACCATATCATAAAGATATTTATCATAAATAAATATTATTTTTCACTAATAGTCACATATATAAATTATCAAAATCTACGGGGTCTTACAATTTATTTCATATTTATATAAACTTAAAAACCAAAAATGTGTATGTGTGTATATGATTGAGCTTGAAGTATCTACACACAAAGTATAAATCCTAAACTATAAAAACTATACCCAAGCAATCTTAATCTACAATGAAGCTCAACTTGGTTGCGGATGAAGCTTGATCTTGAATTAGACTTGAATGTGCAATGACTTCACACCACTATTTCCGCCAACCTCTATTTGATATGATCGTTATGGCGCAATCCATCCAACCTCCAACATCGATGTTTGTCTAGAATACATATTAAACAAATACAATCACTAGATAAACAATGTTAGGAATTGTTTGTAATCATCAAAATAAGATTAGGGAGTATGCTCATAAACATGAGGGCAACAACTAGTAAACAAAAGCAATAAGAGTTGATTAAAAATATCCAGTTAAAGCATAAAAATTTTAAAAATATTATAGCTTAAAAATTATCATCACTATATAAATTAAAGTAACTACATATAATTTTACTAATAAGTTGGAGCAACAAAAATATATTAGTAACATTAATTGATAGATGTTTAAATCCATAAAAATGATAAAAGACTATAATATAACAACTTAGCATTAATTAATTATAATTTAGAAACATTAATCTCTAATGTTAATAATATTTACAGGATAAAAAATACAATGAAGTACGTATGGAGAAACTATCAGAATGTACATTGATATCCTTTAAAAGAACATAACTATTGCAAATGAGAAAGTAACAAAAATAAATCTAAAATCTAGAAAAAATCCATGAATCATTTGAATTGGCATTAACATAAGGCATATCTATTAAAAAAGTACCAACTGAGTTAATATAGGAAAAATTAGTAAGTATTCATAAATTTCATATTTTGTTCTTCAAATACTAAAGAAATTAGATATTAATATCATAACTTAAGGCAAATTGGCAATGAAAAATGCAAGTATTTAGTTTAGATATTTGTGGAAAATAACAAGGATTGAGCAAATGTAATATTATTAACGTAACAAAAACTCTTATTGGATGCACATCAAAAGAATTCATTGTAGAGAAAAAAGAGGCAGCTCCTAATATTATTTAAGTAATAAATTAGGAACACAAAAATTTTATATATATGAAATTAACATTTATTCTTATTAAAATTTAAAAAATCAAAGTCTGTATTTCAAGAAGTTTGTGTTGAACATGGGCAATGCATTTAACTTCTTCATAAAGTTAAACAACAAGATAAAAGATTAACGAGCCCAAGAAAGATAACAGCAGAAAAATACAACTCTAATCTGATGCCACAATCAATATAGATGACGAAGACACTACTCTAGAATTGATCAGGAAAAAGACAAATGTGATGAAGGATTGATCTTAGCTCAATAAAAAATAAAACTGAAGGAGTAAAAGACAATACTTTCTGAATATTTTATAGAATAATTTTATTATTTTGAGTGAAATTAGGAATCTTTGGAAGGGAGTTTCATGAGTTTTTCAATACTTTTATATTGCTTATGTGGATGTTTTTATCATATAAAAGTATACTAGAGTTAACATTACTCTTTAATTTATAATTTTTTATGAAGTCTATCAATGATTGGGAACAAACTTCATATTCTCTTTTATATTATTTTAATGTACTTTTAACTAATAATTTTACCTTATTGGTTTTAAATATTTACATTCCTTGTATAACACTATTTCAATATTTTTTTTCTTTTATGACACTGTACTTTCTCAAGTAAAATTTTAGTTTTATGTCAGTCAAAATAATATAAAAATTCAAATTAGCTTCAAATTATATTTGTTTTCTGTTAATTCAAATATCAATATGAAAATTTAAATTGGGTGCAACCTATTTAAATAAACATTAAAGAAAATAAATAATCACAATATTAAAGTTTAGAGACAAAAATGAGCACAAACTATTAAAATGGAACCGAAGAACAAAGTTTAATTAGAAAATAAGGAAAAAAAAATACTTAATCCTGATATTTAATCACGTGCATTGCACGTGTATAAAAGTTAGTGTATGTATATAAACAGAGACACAAATAAATAAGTTGCTTCTACAAGTTGTCTATTATAAGCCTCAACAACACAAAACTGGACGCCAACTCTCTATGCTTCACTTTCTATCGCCCTATTTTCCCCTCCATGGTATATTTTTGTCGTTTGCACGCTCAAAGCGCCCATGTATTTTTGCGAGCCGATTCGGCCCGCTTAAGTACAACGCGGCCCATATTAGCCTCCAGCGGCTCGGGTCGATGTCCTATCAAATTGAACCGAACCGAAAACGCCATGGTGGAAGATTTATCAATGGCGCTGGATCAAATCGGTCGATCGAGCGAGAGGGATATTTCTCTTCTCAAATAGAGGAAAAGAGATAGAATTTAAAGAAGGCAGGAGAGAGAGAGGGGGGGAGAGAGATGAGCGCAGTACTTTCTCTCTCACCTTCATCATCTCCCTCTCATTATTCTCCTTCCACACAAAGAAAAGCATCTCCTTTTAGGGTTAGGGTTTCTCAAACGACCTCCATCCCTGAGAAATTTACTCGATTTTATGATTCTAGGTCTCAATCTCGATCAGGTACGAAGCTCAGATCCTGATTCAGTCTCAGTTATGTCTTTAGTTTTTGTGAACTGCACAATAGTATTGAATTCTGTTGCGATTCAGTTTCAGCCATTTCTTTGTGACTTAAATTGGGGGAACTACAGCTAACATGTCCTTAATTGATCTGTTTGGATCCAGAACAATATTGATTTACAGTGTTCTGCATTGCTGTGTGTTTCTAGCTTGTTTATACCTTGTTCTCTGTTCTGCTTGAATTCGCTTGTTGATATCATAACTGTATTTTTTAAAAGTCAGAATGTAGAGAAAAAAATTGTAGAAACTAACTATAGTCTCTATATAATTGTGATTGTTGAGTTAGATGAGTGGCAAACTATTGATCTTAAACAAAAAGTTATGAGTTAGAGCATATGAGTTCAAGGGGCATGTCATGTTCCGGAATAATTATGCACAAAAACATGGTCCGCGTGCATCCTTTTTTTGTAACATAGCTCAACCAGGAGGTACTGAAAACCCGGAGAGCAGCGCCACAAATCTTGGATGAGACAAGGTTTCGCTTTTGCCTCTTCTAAAATGCAAAACTTTTATGCTGTAATTCTCTTGACCGAACAAAGTCTAAGAGATAGGATAAGGAAAGAGCAGAGTTTGTAGTACAAGTTAAGGAGGTTGCTCACATGGATATAAGGAGAACTGGATTAGATAATTCAGGCATGAATGAAAGGAAGTGAAGTGTCGCAATTAGGAGGAGTTAGGAGTGGGTCTAAATCAATTGGCAGTATGATGGCACCAAATATACAAGAAAACTTGAAAAGTAAAAGTGAAAACTATTAATACAAAGCATGAAATATATTTTAATTGGGATTTTGGAGCTTTCATGAAATAAACTCAGCTTTATTGGATAGAAATTTGGTATGAAGGTATTATCATTATGCAACCGTGCTAGCCATTGCATTTGCATTGGAAAACCAAGCAACCTTACAAAATGAAAAGACAAAAAATGGTCCTCTCAATCCTCTCGGTGATAGACCAAAGAGAGTCGCTCTTTGGAAAGCAGCTTATTATGGATCACCATATGTACCATATATTCACGGTTGGTTTGTGAACGTTGAAGAAATATGGTTAATTAAATGCATATTGTGTCAAAGAACGCACACGCCTTTTTCACATACACATCCTTCACGAATATGCATGTTAGCATGTTTATCTTTTGTCCCTGAATCTGTAATTTGCATGTGCATCCTCAACTTTTAATTTATAACCATGTACAGGTGCTGCAACATTTTTCACAAGAATTAAGTTTCTAGTAAATATTATTCCCCGCTCGCTATACCAAAATCCTGGTTGCACCACTACTGACCCTGAAAACTTGGATAGAGACCTCATAGTTGCTTCTGATGAACTTGAAAGTGCTTATATATGTATATGCATGCACATAGAGATGCTTGCCTCTTTTTACCTTCAAACAACACATGGGAGTAGTTGGATCTAACCTGAGTTATTCATCAACGATATTATTACAAGCAGACATGTGATGTATCCATATCCAGTTTCTACTTTCTACATCTTTCTTTCATGGTTGACCTTCTATCAAATATCTTTGAGCCAATATGGTGCCGATAGGTAATGATTTGAATTTCTTATACACCGCCTCTTACAATCTTTGGCTCCTAGAGTTCATGTTGAGGCTTTTTTCAAGTCCATATCACAATTTTGCAGCTATGAAACCTTTATAATCCGTCCAGAAGGCATTTGTATATATAATTTAAACCTCCTGAGTCCTGAGAAGGGAGAGAGGCCCAGATCGGTTCAGATCTAAAATAAGATGCAAATGTGGGTATTGTAGCATGACAACTTAGTACAAGCTGCATGCTGAAATAGCATGCTGAATTTCAGCTTACTTTTGCAGGGGAAGAATTCCTGCATGGTGTGACCATGAAGCAATAACATTTTTTTTTAAAAAAAATAGCAAACCATTACTTTTTGTTTCCTTCTTAAATAGGTTCCAAATACTTCCAGTTGTCTTTGGTGGTTCAGTAATCAAACCTGAACTAATTAGACAGTGTGAAAAGGTAGAAGCATTATATATTGGATATTGAACTCGGAAAAGATAATAAATCTGTGTGCCTGTGATCATTTGCAACTTCTACCAGAAGGTTAGAAGCCACTTCACCTCAGTAACCAATGTTCACTTGTTCAGGCTGACTTAATGTCAATAAATAAATAATCAAATTACTTTGCACCAGAAGAGAAATATTCCCTTCATATGCGAGGCTCACATGACAGTTATCTATCTAGTAAATAAAATCAGGAGAATACTTTTCATCTAGTGGCAGCTTCTTCTTAATTGTGGGTGCAAATTTCCATTTGTTTTTAACCCAATTTTCCACTACCTTGAATTGAATATCATCATTTGCAATTAATAACAGGGGATAAATATTTTTGTTTTCCTCCTTTGTTACTTATGTTCTTTAATTCACTTACTGCACATTCTGTGCAGGAGTTTGCAAGGCCAGTCAAGCTGTCGACTTGTTTCCCCCTGTTTGCCCAGAAATTGTGGTTCGAGATGCGCGTCTGGAGGACTGTTGGGAAGTAGCAGACACTCACTGCAGCTCTTTCTTTCCAGATTATACTTTTCCAGTAGATTTAGTGCTTAGAATTGACCGATTTGTGGCTCTGCTCTCTGGGTTTTCAGTACCTCCTGGTTGCATGAGGGCATGTCTTGTTGCTTTGACTGGAACCTCAGTGAATGATAATCTATATGTTGGAAGTGACGACATCAAAGTTGGTGGGTTTGAAGGAAAATTCAGCTTTAATAAGGGTTCTGTGGCAGGAATTCTGACAGTTGATACAGTAGCAGATTTCCTTCCTAGGAAAGGGCCATTTCGGCAAAGAAGGTAAGTCAGGCATTCCTAGATAGGTATAAGTCATTCCATACTGAGATTTTATATGATTTGAAAACTTTACGTACCACTGTAGTTGCATGAAAATGCTTCAGCTACGGTCCAGTTCTGAGATATCACTTTCTTATGCACATTGATAAGACTAGATATTCTCAAATATGACTTGCATGTTAGATGATAGAATACAGGTCTTACTCTGACTTGACTCTAGGCCAATCTATTTGGCTTCATATATGTTAGGTAGTTTTCATGTGAATGCATCTTTGTTAATCTGGGATCTGTTTATCATATATTTTACCTCATGCTTGTAGACACTTTTGTGTTGGCAAACAAAAGAGTTGATGGATACTATTAGTGACTTATTAGTGTTTTCCTCACCTTTTCACTGAGGATGCAGTAGTTAGCAGTAAAATATGTGGGACTGGTTTCTGTGAAGAAATGGATTTAATGGCACACGTAGATTACATTAAACATTGGGAAAACAATATTTATTCTAGGAATCCACCCCACCTCCCCCCACCCCGGCTCAAAAAAAAAAAAAGAAAGAAAGAAAGAAAGAAACAACCCAACTCCTTTCACCTCCCCCCACCCCGGCTCAAAAAAAAAAAAAGAAAGAAAGAAAGAAAGAAACAACCCAACTCCTTTACTTTGTAATGGTCGGACGGACAATTGCATTGAAGGCGCTCAGTTATGTCTCCCTACTTCTTTTTGTGGGGTGTCCTCAACCCATTTGTCAGCCTGACCCTTAAATCATGGGCAGGTTATTTTGACGGTTGATAGAACTACCCTTTCTGCTTCAGAAGACAAATTACAATATAGAGTCGAGTATTTATCTAGCATATAACATGCTGGAATAGTCGCCTTAGCATCACTCGTTGGTGTATTCTTTACTAAAGAATCTTTAGGCTGATGCAACGGTTGAGCAAATTGACCTTGCTCCTCCATGGGCTTCTGTAACAACTCTTTCATCTGGTAGGCATGTATAGTTTTTGCTGCATGCCTTCAAAAGTTGAATATTAAGGCTCAAACGGCATTACTGGTACATCTATTGTTCTGCTCCTCCATGGGCTTCTGTTACAACTCTTTCATCTGGTGTGCATGTATAGTTTTTGCTGCATGCCTTCAAAAGTTGCATATTAAGGCTCAAACGGCATTACTGGTACATCTAATGTTCTGTGAGGTTAGACATCTTTTTAAGAAATATGGTTATTGGGCATGGTATCAACCCCATGTTCTTGGTGCTGTCACCAGTTTATTGTCAGAGACATAGCATACTTAATGTTGGAGTCGTGCTGCCTTTTCTTTTTCAGTACATATAGGCTTCAGCGACCAGGGCTCCTCCATAGACTTCGGTAACAACTCTTTTTTCATCTGGTGTGCATGTAAAATTTTTGCTGCATGCCTTCAGGAGTCACGTATTAAAGCTCAAGCGGCATATTTAAATTACTGGTACATGTATTGTTCTATGAGGCTAGACATATTTTAATGAATGTGGTGACCGGGCATGGTATCAACATGTTCTTGGTGTTGTCACCAGTTTACTGTCAGATACATAGCATGCTTAATGTTGGAGTCATGCTTCCGTTTCTTTTTCTGTCCATATAGGCTTCAGCGACCAGGGGTGTAGTATTTGGGGGCAGGTTGGTTTTATATCCAGCATTTTCCTGTCCTGCATCTTCTCATTGCAAGATTCTGAGAACAAATCTCCAATTAAAACACAGGCGGGGCATGATCGTGAGTCATAAACATGCCAATTCCTTGAGTAGGAACCTAGGATGCATTTTCAGTTTGGGTGTTTTGTATTGTGTGTTGTGCGCGTGTGCATCCCTTAAACTATGGGTACGCAAAACTACCCCCGAAATCTCAGTACTTGGAAAATTTCCCTTCAAATCTTT